TTTAAATGTTTTTAAAGTATTATAAATTTCTCTTTCAAAACGTTCTGTTGGATTTTTGTTTAATTTTGAATAACTTTAGTCATTTAAAAGTTCGTTCATTTTTTGATCATAGATATTATAATCCATAATGACGGTCGCATTACCTTTATCAGCAGGCAAAATTTTGATTGTTTTATCTTTTTTAAGAACGGAAATTCTGTCTTTCTGTCGGAAAAAAATTTTTGAGGCGAAATACCCAAAAAGAAGTTTGTAAAAAATGAATCCGCCTCAACAATTATCGCCGCAACTTATCTACAAATTAAAAGCTTCATTCACTTTCACCAAAGGCACAATATATAGATTTTTTAAAATGAAACTTTCTTGAAGGTTTCCTCCTTCCGCCCCGGCACTGTGACAAGTTTTTCGCGATCGCGATTTGCAAATTAAATTCGAAATGTCGCTTTATGTCGGGACGGAAATACATTTGATTTCCGTTTCAGATTTGATGTTGTATCTCAATTTTCTAGGTGTACGACCTTATCAAGCTCGGGCATCGCAAAACTTATTTTCTTAAAGTCGACTTTCTACACTTGAATAATCAGGCCGTGGATTCGTTTCGATCACTACACGCAAAGAACTAAAATTTGCATTTCCGAGCATGTTTTTTTCGCTATGCATAACTGGAAATGTGCGTTCAGCGGTGGAAAACCAAAGCCAAGAAAAATTCAAAAATGGTAAATAAATACACTTTGCAGTGTTTGATGAAAAAGCCCCCAATGCGATAAACAACAATTCAGTCACGTAAAACAAACGTTCGACTGGTAATCAGTTGGAAGCAACCATTAGACGATTTTAATGGATCATCGACCGTTTTGCTTTTCCCTCTGTTTCATTTCGGGGTTTCTATTTCAATTAGAGCCTGGGAGAAATATTGATAGATAAATCAGATTCCGTTTTTAATTCGCCGATAGGGTAAAACATGCAAATTGGAAAACAAACAGAAACGGGCCGGAAAAAGGAGGAAAAGAAATCGTGCCGTTGCAAAACGCTGCTGGTTGAATCTTTGCCGATTAAATTAACGAATTAAAATGGAAATTATTGAAATGGGCAGCAGTTAGCGCACGAGCGGATAATTTCTTTGGATTTTCCTGCTAACGGAATAAATAGAAATCGCAATTGAAATTTACCGATATATGGGCAACTTCACTGTTTCCTGAAGTTAAAACCCATTTTTGAAGCTGAATACTTCGACAAAAGTACATTACTGTAAAACTATGTTCTGAAAAACCCATCTGTCTCAAAATTCAGTTCAATCGCGCTTTTTTCTTAGATTTTACGCATATTTAGTCATCCGAGGGCGGATTACTCGCGACGTCCTCTTTGCACGGGGAGTTTCAAAAAAACGTTCCTCACAAAGCGGTGATGGTAGAAAAGCGTTTCTTATTACATCTGAAAAAGCACTATTTTGAATGAATTTTTATCATCCGAGTGAGGATTCGCAAAAAAATTCTGAAAAACCGGTAGAGGAAGAAAAGCGTTTGTCACCACATCTGAAAAAGCACTCTTTTCTTCACTGGTGCTAAGAAATTAGCTGTTTTCTAAGATTTTACGAATTTGTAATCATCGGAGTGCGGATTTTTGACGATCCTTTCTCGCACAGTGAGTTTCAAAAATACATTGCTGAAAATCCAGTGGAGCTAGAAAAGCGTTTGTTACGAGACCTGGAAAAGCGCTCTATTCTTCACTAGTGCTCTGAAATTCAGTTTTATCGCGCTATTTCCCTAGATTTTTCGAATTTTAATCATCGGAGTGCGGGTTTTTGACGATGCTTTCTTACACAGTGAATTTCAAAAATACATTTTTGAAAAACCAGTGGAGCTAGAAAAGCGTTTGTTACCACATCTGGAAAAGCACTCTTTTCTTCGCTAGTGCTCTGAAATTCATTTGAATCGCGCTGTTTTCTTAGATTTTATGAATTTTTACTCATCTACGTGCGGATTTATCACCATATCTCTTTGCACAGTGAGTTTCAAAAAAACATTTCTCAAAAACCGGTGGAGGTAGAAAAGCGTTTGTAATGATATCTCAAAAAGCACTATTTTCTTCACTAATGTTCCAAAATGCAGATCAATCGCCCTCTTTTCTAAGATTTTACGAAATTTTTATGATCGGAGTGCGGATTTTTGACGATCCTTTCTTGCAGAGTCAGTTTCAAAGATATATTTCTGAAAAACCGCTGGAGCTAGAAAAGCGTTTGTTACCACATCTGAAAAAGCACTGATTTATTCACTAGTGCTCTGAAATTCAGTTTAATCGCACTATTTTCCTAGATTTTTCGAGTTTTTAATGATCGGAGTGCGGATTTTTGACGATCCTTTCATTAACAGGCACTTTTAGCTTTCGATTTCGATAAAAGCCTGTTCATATACAAAAGGGCAAGGTTGAGTTTTTATAAGAGCATTATTTTTTTCATTGATACTTCAACATTCAGTTCGTTGAATCGTGCAGTTTTGTAATATTCTACGAACGTTAATCATCTTAGAGCGGATTATGAGCAAATCTTCGCTGCAGAGTCAGTTTTAAAATACATTTCTCAAAAACCAGTCGATGGAAGGCAATGAGAGCCTCTTTCCTTCACTAATACCCCAAAATTCAGTTCAATGGCGCTTTTTTCTAAGATTTTAGTAATTTTTAATCATCGGAGGGCACATTTTTCACGACCCTTGTCGCATACGGAATTTAAAAAAACATCTCTGGAAAACCTGTGGAGCTAGAACTAGTTTGTTTTCACATCTGAAAAAGCACTTTTTTCTTCACTAGTGCTCTTAAATTCAGTTTAATCACGCCATTGTCTTAGATTTTACGATTTTTTTATCATGCGAGTGCGATATTTTGCAATCATTCGTTAGACAGTGAGTTCCAAAAATATATTTCTGAAAAACCACTGGAGCTAGCAAAGCGTTTGTTACCACATCTGAAAAAGCACTGATTTCTTCACCAGTGCTCTGAAATTCAGTTTAATAGCGCTATTTTCCTCGATTTTACGAATTTTCATTTAATCAACCATGTCCTCTTCGTACAATGAGTTTCAAAAAAACGTTCCTCAAAAACCGGTGGAGGTAGAAAAGCGTTCGTTACGATATCTCAAAAACCACTCTTTTATTCACTAATGCTACAAAATGCAGTTCAATCGGCCTCTTTTCTTAGATTTTACGAAATTTTAATGATCGAAGTGCGGATTGTTGACGATCTTTTCTTGAATAGTTATATTCACAAATACAGTTCTAAAAAACCAGTGGAGCTAGAAAAGCGTTTGTTACCACATCTGAAAAAGCACTCATTTCTTCACTAGTGCTCTGAAATTCAATTTAATCGCACTATTTTCCTAGATGTTTTGAATTTTTAATCAACCTAGTGCGGATTTTTGGCGATGTCCTCTCCTCAGAATGAGATTCAAAAAAAGCATTCCTCGAAAATCGGTAGAGGAAGAAAAGCGTTTGTTACGATATCTCAAAAAGCACCCTTTTCTTCACTAATGCTACAAAATGCAGTTCAATCGGCCTCTTTTCTTAGATTTTACAAAATTTTAGTCATTGGAGGGCGGATTTTTAACGATCCTTTGTCGCACAGTAAGTTCGCAAAAAAATTCTGAAAAAACGGTAGTTGAAGAAAAGCGTTTGTTATCACATCTGAAAAAGGACTCATTTCGTCACTAGTGCTCTGAAATTCAATTTAATCGCGCTATTTTCCAAGATGTTTTGAATTTTTAATCAACCTAGTGCGGATTTTTGGCGATGTCCTCTCCGCAGAATGAGATTCAAAAAAAGCATTCCTCATAAATCGGTAGAGGAAGAAAAGCGTTTGTTACGATATCTCAAAAAGCACTCTTTTCTTCACTAATGCTACAAAATGCAGTTCAATCGCCCTCTTTTCTAAGATTTTACGAAATTTTAATGATCGTAGTGCCGATTTTGGACAATCCTTTCTTGCACAGTGAGTTTCAAAAATACATTTCTGAAAAACCAGTGGAGCTAAAAAAGCGTTTGTTACCACATCTGGAAAAGCACTCTTTTCTTCACTAGAGCTCTGAAATTCAGTTTAATCGCGCCATTTTCCTAGATTTTCCGAATTTTTAATCAACCTAGTGCGGATTTGTCGCGATATCCTCTCCATACAATGCGATTCAGAAAAACGTTCCTCAAAAACCGGTGGAGGAGGAAAAGCGTTTGTTACGATACCTGAAAAGGCAATCTTTTCTTCACTAATGCTGCAACCTGCAGTTCAATCGCCCTCTTTTCTAAGATTTCACGAAATTTTAATGATCGGAGTGCGAATTGTTGACGATCCTTTTTTTTTTCAAAAATACAGTTCTGAAAAACCAGTGGAGCTAGAAAAGCGTTTGTTACCACATCTGAAAAAGCACTCATTTCTTCACTAGTGCTCTGAAATTCAATTTAATCGCACTATTTTCCTAGATGTTTTGAATTTTTAATCAACCTAGTGCGGATTTTTGGCGATGTCCTCTCCGCATAATCAGATTCAAAAAAACATTCCTCAAAAATCGGTAGAGGAAGAAAAGCGTTTGTTACCACATCTGGAAAAGCACTATTGCTTCACTAGTGCTCTGAAATTCAGTTTAATAGCGTCATTTTCCTAGATTTTTCGAATTTTTAATCAACCGAGGGCGGATTTTTAGCGATGTCCTCTTTACAGAGTGATTTTCAAAAAAACGTTGCTCAAAAAGCGGTGAAGGTAGAAAATCGTTTCTTACCACATCTGAAAAAGCACCTTTTTTCGCTAATGCTCCAAAATGCAGTTCAATCGCACTTGTTGCTTAGACTTTACGAATTTTGATCTAACAACCAGCAAACAGAAACATGAATCAACAGAGATTTTACATTTAATTTAATTTCAATTGCATTATTGAAGCAATTGCCATGCCCAAACTGCTTCTTTCGTATGTACAACACTGTCTTCACTTCACTTTCTCAACTCGCCTACAAGAACTTGATTAATTTCAGATGATCGACGTGAAAAACAACATTCACTACCCGAGTGGATACCCGATCTCTCAGCATCCGCCAGTTTTCCTGTGTTCTTCGCCAGGTCCGGACCCGTACAGTTCCCAAGACCTCTACAATCCAGTCTATGAGGAGCTGAGCGACGCTGACACGGACGCTGAGCGACATGGAGGGCATAGTGAGGACGAATTCGCTGAGGACGAGCTCAGTTTAGCCGGTGAAATGGATCGAAGGAGGTTGGAAATGCCTCCTCCTCCATATCGACCGGGCAACGGCTCGATGCGACGTGAGATTCCCCGGTTTAGGAGGCCTCATGAACCATTACCGCCCTTACCAAATAATAAACGAAATCGGTAAGCACACACACATTTCTTTGATCATTGATTCTCTTCAACTATTCTTTCGTTTTCATTCAACGTAGTGATCGGCTCTCGCTCTGAGTCTGATCTGTATGCATAAACGCTTGGACCTTCTTGAGGTTCTGCAGTGTTTTTCCCATGAAAACTGTTGCTTGTCACGTTTGTTGTGCCTCTTTGATCTGGACATTTATTTTAATTGCAGAAGTTTAGAACGCCATCGGCAAGAGTTCCACGAAGGAATGGTTCTGGACGCTCTCCTTCAGCTCTACCCTCGTGTGGGGAGTGTGGAGCCTCCATGCAGCAATCAGCGCCGCCAAATCCCCAGTATAGCCCAAAGGCTCCAATACATGGGGCAAACGCCTGGGCCTTACGAAACAGTGCCCGTAATCAGCCACTTAGCGACGTTTCGTCCCATGCCCAAACCCTACTCGCATGACTCGGCACTCGGCTCCGACTCGGGCTACAGCAACCACACGAGTGGGACTAGTAGGGGCTCCAATAGGGGCCGCCGGGACCCTAGACGATTGTCGCAAATCAGTGCGGACTTGGCCTTAACGTAATATCGGTGCTAACAATTGTAAATAATTCTGATCAGGCAAAGCGAATTTGTGGACTGGGATTGACTGTTTATGAAATATCGCATACCAAATCATTAGGAACTTAACCATAATCATCGTTGTACTACTCAGGAGTAATCAGCACTGCTTGCTACGGTAGATAGTGACTCCATATTGAGCTTCTTAGGTCTACTAAAGATCCTTTGTCCAACATTTGTGATATTAAGGAGGGTGGTCGAACAACAGGATGATCCAAAGCGAGTTTTTGAGTATTTTGCTGATTTTAAGCTCTCATTTGCATCGTCGGATCGCCTTTAACACCGCAACTTTCTTCGAGCTTTGACGCGAGTTTTGGTAGAGTGGGGAACAATACTTGCAGGCAAGAAGTGTTTCCAAACGGGCCTAATCTAGTTTTACCTACGCAACAAAATTAACTAGAAACTAGTGGGTTTGTCGGGTTTTGAGGCCGTCGTAAAATTGAATTTCTTCGTGGCGTTTCGCAAGCACGAGTGGCTTGCATCTTCAGGGGTGGTTTGCTTGAACGCTTATACTGTTCTGATGTTTCTCAGCTCAGAGCACTAGTGAACAGACGAGTAATTGTTCAGATGTGGCAACAAACGCTGTTCTAGCTCCACTGGTTTTTCAGAAATATATTTGTCAAACTCACTGTGCATGAAAGGATCGTCAAAAATCCGCTCTCCGATCATTAAAATTTCGTAAAATCTTAGAAAAGAGGACGATTGAACTGCATTTTGTGGCATTAGTGAAGAAAAGCGTGCTTTTTCAGATACCTATCGTAAGAAACACTCTTCTTCCTGCACCGGTGTTTGAGGAACGTTTTTTTGCATCTCGTTGTACGGAGAGGACATCGGTTGATTAAAAATTCGAAAAATCTAGGAAAATAGCACGATTAAACTGAATTTCAGAACACTAGTGAAGAAAAGACTGTATTTTCAGATGTGGTAACAAACGTTTTTCTACCTCCACCGGTTTTCCCGAAATGTTTTTTTGAAAGTCACTGTGTAAAGGAGCCATCGCAAGAAATCCGCACTCGGTTGATTAAAAATTCGAAAAATCTACGCAAATAGCGCGATTAAACTGAATTTCAGAGCACTAGGAAGAAAAGAGTGTATTTTCAGATGTGGTAACAAACGCTTTTCTAGCTCCACTGGTATTTCAGAAATGTATTTTTGAAACGCACCGTGCAGCAAAAGATCGTCAAAAATCCGCACTCCAATCATTAAAATTTTGTAAAATCTTAAAAAATACGGCGATTGAACTGCAGTTTCTAGCATTAGTGAAGAAAAGAGTGCTTTTTCAGATATCGTAACAAACGCTTTTCTTCCTCCGCCGGTTGTTGAGAMACGTTTTKTTTTTATCTCATTGTACGGAGAGGGAATCGCGAAAAATCCGCACTCGGTTGATTMAAAATTCGAAAAATCTACGMAAATAGCGCGATTAAACTGAATTTCAGAGCACTAGTGAAGAAAAGAGTGTATTTTCAGGTGTGGTAACAAACGTTTTTCTACCTCCACCGGTTTTCCCGAAATGTTTTTTTGAAAGTCACTGTGTAAAGGGGCCATCGCAAGAAATCCCCACTCGGTTGATTAAAAATTCGAAAAATCTACGAAAATAGCGCGATTAAACTGAATTTCAGAGCACTAGTGAAGAAAAGAGTGCTTTTTCAGATGTGGTWACAAACGCTTTTCTAGCTCCACTGGTTTTTCAGAAATGTATTTTTRAAACTCACTATGCAAGAAAGGATCGTCAAAAATCCGCAMTCCGATCATTAAAATTTCGTAAAATCTTAGAAAAGAGGCCGATTGAACTGCATTTTGTAGCATTAGTGAAGAAAAGAGTGGTTTTTGAGATATCGTAACAAACACTTTTCTACCTCCATCTCGATTAAAAATTCGAAAAATCTAGGAAAATAGCGCGATTAAACTGAATTTCAGAGCACTAGTGAAGAAAAGAGTGCTTTTTCAGATGTGGTAACAAACGCTTTTCTAGCTCCACTGGTATCGTCAACAAAGGATCTTCAGAAATCCGCACTCCGATTTAATGATCAATATAAATAATCTTTATTTCCTACAGAAAAAGGCTATCGACCCAATCGGTCTTTCTGCCCCGATCATTAAAATTTCGTAAAATCTTAGAAAAGAGGCCGATTTAACTGCATTTTGTAGCATTAGTGAAGAAAAGCGTGCTTTTTCAGATACCTATCGTAACAAACACTTTTCTTCCTCCACCGGTTTTTGAGGAACGTTTTTTTGAATCTCACTGTACGGAGAGGACATCGCGAAAAATCCGCACTCGGTGGATTAAAAATTCGAAAAATCTAGGAAAATAGCGCGATTAGACTGAATTTTAGAGCACTAGTGAAGAAAAAAGTGCTTTTTCAGATGTGGTAACAAACGCTTTTCTAGCTCCACTGATTTTTCAGAAATGTATTTTTGAAACTCCAAAGAAATTGCATTTTACGACGGCCTAAAACGCACTAGTTTCAAGGAATGGCCTCGAAAGTCTATCTCTTTTAACATTAAGTAGGTTTGTTTCGTCATAACACACTATACAATTCTTGGGTATTCCTTTGAAAAGTAGCCAAAAATCTCGTAGTTTATTGCGATCAATATTGAGCAGTTCTAGTAGAAATCAATCGAAATTTCTAAATAAAAAATGTAATTCCCAAACCGATGAAAATGCGTGAATCGTTTAATTATCAAGCTTCTTGTATTCTATCTGCTCTATTTGCAGCAAAAGCACCACGCAATTTACCCACAAAATATCAAGCTTATTGAAACCTTGCAGGGTTTGATGTTGAAATAAATCCAGCTAAAGCCAGTGTCATTCCAGTTTCAGTGAATTATAGCGAGTGTGTAAATAGTAATCGTAGTGGCAGCTTTAGATAGTCCTTTCTACCTAGTTTCTTGCCTTTACGTAAACTTTGTATACTTTCTCCCTGTAAAATATTGTACATTGTCTGTAACTTTTTAAATTATTTTGTACGTTTATTAATAAGCAGTAAGGTTAAATGGAAGAAATACGACATAGATCATTACCTACCACACGCTTACATCTGTTAGCAGTAGTTAGAATGTGAACTTCTATTTTCGACTATGCCATTCTGTGACATGGGAAGAAATAGAATGTTGTGTCACGATTTTTACCGAACATTTCATAAGTTACCACGATTTCCTGCTAGAATATCTATAAACGAAAATCTTCCGTGGCTTTTGCACCATTCACAAACCAATCGGGCATTTGGTGGGCAAATTCACCGAAGATTTATTCCGATAATTTAGCCAACTATGTACTTATTAGCGATTGTATAATCAACTACGACTGTCCCTAAAGCAATATCACGACTGTTTCTATATTTTGTCTTTTTAACAGCAAAATTTATGGATCGACAAAATGTAGGTAGCAGCAGAAAACTTTCAAACCACAAATAATTTCCCGTAACTTAAGGTATACACACAGGGTCAGTAATTTCCATTAATTTAATTTTATTAACGTGCACCTTATTTAGTGTTCGCCTCGAACTTGGTCCTAGTCGAAATTGTAAATTGTTTTAACATTAGTTTTGTACAAGTTTCCTGTTTTATAAGTTGTCAATTGTCTTATTTTCTATAATGTTGTTATTGTTTCCCAGTTGTTTAATTTGAGAATATAAACTATGACTTTTAAGTGGCAGTCTTTTATTTCACATGGATGCATGGTGAATTAATGGAATAATGAATGTTTTGTAAATTGTTGCTCTCTGATCGTTTTTTCCAGATTTTTTCTTAATTACTTTAGGTAAAAAACTACATACAAGATTCAGTTTATCAGTATTTGGCAGTAAAACGTTAGGAAAAACGTCTTGTTTAGAAATATTGACCTAAAAGTGTAGAAACCCCAGTTTCATAGAGTTTTCCAAATAAATGGTTATAAACTTACGCTTTTTCAGTTCGAAGGAAATATTTTTGGGAAAAGGCCCAGAATTAATTATTAGGGTTTTCCCCATAATTCGAAGCTGTAAAAAGTTTTCCAAAGATTTTTGCAAAGCGGTTAAGGAGGCGAGCTATAAAATGTATCTTATAAATTTTCACAGAAAATACCTGAAGAGTGTCAGTATTTTAACTGAAAAATTATGCGATTTTTGCATAGAAAGAATTGCTTAATAGACACTTTGTTAAAGCTAAGATGACCGGAAAATTTGAAGGAACTTAAAAAATCTTTAGAGCGATGAGGGCGGCGAATTTTTCAAATATTTTTTTGTAAACTTTTGCTTGTTAATCGTTTATTTCCAGATAATATTAATTACTTTCGGTAAAAAACTGAATAAAACTATTTGGTTTTTGTGCCAAATTCGAAGCTGAAAAGGGTTTTCTAAAGTTCCCTGCAAACAGATGAATGAGACGAATTTTGTAGCAAAATTAATTTTGTCATTTTTGGCTGAAAAGACCCCATTATTGTCATAAAAGAAGAAAAACATCAGAACATAATGTTTTTTTGGGTTTCTCATTAAAAACTTTAGTTTTGCTACAGGTTTTTGGGAAAATCTTAATGATTTTCGGGAAGAAACTGGATAAATTTATTTTTGTTTTTGTCCCGAATTCGACTCCAAAAAGTAGCTGTAAAATTCCTGCAAAGCTATAAACACATCTTGTAATTTTTCGCGTAAAATGCATCCAGATCGTCAGTATTTTTAAGTAAAACTCTACAAAATAGACCGTTTTTTAGTAGAAAGCAAAGCAAAAAAAATTCAGTCAAAGCTAAAAAAACATTTTTTAAACAAACTGTACAGTCTTCAGAGTAATGTAAGTCACGAGTTTTCCAATTAATTTATTATAAACTTTCCCGTATTCAGTTCGTTTTTTGATGGAAAATTATTTGAAGCTGGAAAGGGATTTCAAAACTTTTTACAAAGCGACGAAGAAGGCGAGTGTTCTAATAAAATTTATTTCATAATTTTTCGTGAAAAAAACTTTAACATTGTCAGTATTTTTAAGTGAATCCTTAGAAAATTGAGCGTTTGGAAAAAGGGGTAACTGCTAAAACTGGAAAGTTCTGAAATTTTGAAGAAATGTTAACAATATTATTGACAAAACCTTTAAAAAATAAATCTAAAAACAAGTTAAAAAAGTCATCAACATTTTCCCAGCAACGGAACTGAGTTACTGCGCCCGTGCGTTGGGTTGGCGCACCAAGCCATTTGCGCAGCACTGCGCCAACTCCTAAAAGCTCATTGAGTTACCCAGGCCTATCATAACGTTAAAAAGTGCTGCAAAGTGAGGAAGTTATTTCTACCGTTCATTAAAACGCCTGAAGAGAACGAACTGACTTTAGCAACCAACTGTCGGTATCCGATCTGAAATTCATAGCATTGTTATGTTTTTTAA